TAGTTGGACACAATACCTTTATTTTATTTAATTTTATGCGGTGTTGAGGATCGAACCCCAGGCCTTGCACATGCTAGGCAATTGCTGTACTGCTGAGCCACAACCCCAGCCTCCAAAGCATGTTTTTCACATTTAAACAGTTAAAAAAAATTTTTTGGAACTGAGAAAAATATATGAATTTTAAACTTTAGTGTTCATATGTAAAGTTTTATTGGGGGCTGGGGATATAGCTCAGTTGGTAGAGTGCTTGCCTAACATGTACAAGGTCCTGGGTTCAATCCCCAGCACCATTAAAAAAAAAAAAAAAAAAAGTTTCATTGGATCACAGCTACATTCATTCAGTTATGTATTTTCTATGGCTACTTTCATGCTAAGTAATTGCGACAGAGATAACAAACTACAAACTCTAAAGTATTCACTATCTTTACAGACTGACATATAAATGATTCATTTCAACAAATACAGTGCTTTCTGTATAAGGCATATGATTTCAAACCTTGCAAACATGTGGCTTAAATGAAAACAGCTGAAGTCAAATGACCCTCTACCACTTGAAAATATCCCATAAGAGAGTAAAATAAGAATTACATTCTGAATACATACCTAGCGTCTCTAGTGCAGTGGGCAGCTGTGAGAACCCACCTGTCTTTCACTAGGCTTCCTGCACATATATGAGCAAGAAAACGTCCATATCGAATCTGTAGACTAACTATCCATGGCCATGCACCATCTTGAGCATCTGAGCCCCCTACAATCCGAGACCCTTGCAACATATCCCTAAGCGGTGCTGTTCCACAATCTAAAAATAAAAATGATATATTATTTGGACTGAGCATCTATATTTATATTTGTGTGTTACTTACTCATCTGACCACATTAATGTAAACCTTTAAATTCCTATTTTAAAAACTGGATACCTAAGGCAAGCCCAAATTTTGAGTTGTAAAGGAGAGTTAAGATAAACATGCCATAATTGATTATTTTTACATAGACATGAAATCAGTACAATTCATTAAGTTAAAGYTCTTTCCCAAAAAAGTATAAAAACAAGAATATCCTCTAGCCAGGCATCACATTATTGCCTGTATGAGATGAAGATTAAGAGCCTGAAATTTAGCCAGGTCCTATGGTGCAGGCCTGGATCATGGTGACTCCAGGGGCCAAGACAGATTGCAAGTTCCAGGCTAGCTAGTGAGAGAATTGAGGATGAAGGTCATTTTATAAAATGACCTGAGTTTAATCCCTAGTACAAAAAAACCCCMAAAAAACTCAAGTGATAAAAGAGCCTGAAACTTGGAGGCTGGGGTGTAGCTCAGTGGTGGTGTGTAGTTAGCATGTCCCGGGCCCTAAGTTCAACCCTTGGCACCAAAAAGGAAAAAAAGAAAAACCCTGGGACTGGCGAGTCCAAAGGTACAAGTTCGCTTCAAGTTCTGATTCTTGCCACTTAACATGCTAAGCTGATTGTGCTCCGCTGTGTTATATAAAGGTCCCCTTCAACTCGGAACACTAGTGAACCAGCCATCTGTAAAATCAGMATGATGGGCCCCTGAACGTTTTGAGGAGCAAAGGTATGTCCCTGTTATGATCACTCCTACCGACATCATTCTGCGTCTAGAAGCCGCTTAGGTGTGTCGGGTTTGGGTTAAGGGGGCCGGGTCCACGGGCAGGAGCCCAGTTCACAGGCGGGCCGCGGGGAAAGGCAGGGGCTGCCAGGAATGAAGGGATACTGCCCTTTGCTGCCGGCTCTTCCTTCTGGGCCTCGTCCAACTGCTGCCAGCGCGCCACTCTGGCCCACCCAGGACCAGCGGCCTGTCCCTGCAAGGGGCCGAGCCCGTTCCTCCCGGGGAGCGAGGGGTGCTCGGAGGAGAGGAGAGCGCCCCCCACAAACAGCAGCGCAGCACCCAGCAGCGCCCGCCCCATCTTGGCGCTCGCGGGCAAGATGGCGGCGAGGCCCGCGCTCCCACAGCCTCCAGGGAGGCCGCGGGCGTCGAGGTGCCCGGATGCGGATTTCAGTTGGCCTCCCCTTCTCGGACAAGGGTAGGTCAGTGCCTGCCTCCCCTGGGCTCTGCGGGTTTGTTTTCATTGGCAAGCCCCTCCCGGGCCCTAGCAGCACACTGCTACCCACGGTAGGGCGGCTGTAGTGGCGGGAAGGTGCTGGAACCCCCCCGGGCGCTGCCTGCTCAGACTTGGAGGGCCCGGAGSCTTTCCAAAGCAAGGGCCATAGCTGGGGAAGGCAGAGGTACAACCGAGGCAAGGTGGGCACAGAGGTTGGGATTGGAGATGAAAAGGCCATTAGGGAAGCCCAGCATCTGTGAAGCAGATTGATCTCTTYCAGCTTTAAAGTAGTTTATCTTGASCACACAACTCAGGCTGAGCTAAGAAAACTAGATTTAAGGATTGCAAAATTGAGCACAAACCCGACTGGTGGTAATTGCACCTCCCCTAACAAACACAAGCACTCRTGCCCTGTTCAGTCTCTAACCTGAGAGATCCATCATTCCTTGCCTCTCTAAGAAACCCTGAGATGCCTCTTGACTTTCCAAACATTGTGTGGGAGCAGGGGACACAGATAAGTGGYCCCTGGTTAATCAGTCCATTGAGTAAGTAGGCATTACCCACATGCTATATGCCACACACCATCCTCCAGATACTGTCTCCTCATCTTGGCCTGTTTTCACCAAGCACCTTGTTCAGTGGATTTAACCTGAACCCCTGTTACTCTTGATGTTATCTCTTAGTGGATTTTCCATCCATTGGCCCTTACCCTGTTCTTTGGCTATAAATTCCCACTTACCCTTGTTGTGTTTGGAGTTGAGCCTAATCTCTCCCTACTTCAAAATCCCATTGCCCTAGTTCTTTTATTTTCATTTTATTTCAGTTGTCAGTGGATCTTTTATTTACTTATTCATATGCAGCACAGAGGATCGAACCCAAGGCTTCATGAAAGCCAGGCAAGCGCTCTACCACTGAGCCACAACTCCAGCCCCCCATTGCCCTAGTTCTTTGTACCTTTGTATTGAAGGGGAATGCTGGGGATGATGGGGCTTGAACCCAGGGCCTTACTGCTGCATACTAGGCAAGCATCCTACCACTGAGTTACATCTCCAGCGCTTTATGATCCCAAGTAAAGGCTGCCTCACCATGCTTTAATAAATATTATGGAATATTTTTCTTTAACATGACCCTGAGTTTTTAAGAATGATGTTYAATGTTTGGTTTTAAATTGTTTCCTCATTTCCCATCTTGAGTTAGGCTGAACTTTGCCTTCATTTGCCCCATACCTTCAGGAGTGAGAGAATAATGTGTGGGATTCCRTAGTCTGGAAAGTTGCTCACCCTTGGTGGGGAATTAAAGTGGGGTCAATAAAAGGTCAATTGCCTTGCTCATTTTATCCCTCTAAAGCTGACATGGTTGGCAGCGTTGAATAAAAGGAGTATATTAGGTTGGCACAGAAGGTAACACAGGAAAGTAAGCAGAGGCCTGGGGCCAAACCACAGTCAGTGGGTAGAAAGTAGGTACTGTTGGAGAAACAAGCTGCAGGTGGCACCTAGGGGCTAACAAAAAAACAAATTCCCTAATCTCCAAATGTTGTAATGGAAGGTAACACTTAAAAGGGGCCGGGAACAGAGTTGGGTATGTGCGTGTTTCTATGTGTGTGGAATGTGATCAGATTGTAGATGGCTTTGTAAGCAAGGGAAAATGGTAAATTTTGCTATGACAGATGATAGGGTGTCAACAGATTCATAAAACAGGTGTGTGCAGCCAAATCATGAAATGGCTTGAAAAATACAGTGTACCAGTCATTGCAAAGGTCCTCTGCCTAGATTCCTTCTGCCCTTTCTGGGTCTTCATTCATCTCTCCTGCCTTGTCATTTCCTCTCTGTGTAGGATCATCTCTATCAGCAGACAAATCTCTTCTGGCATGATAGACTTACTTTTCAGGGTGGGGGCCTTCTCTGTCTCCTGTTACACCCATGTTTGGTCCCTTTCCCTTCAGTGTTGGCTGGATTTAGTGATTCACCTCTAGCAAGTAAAAGGTGGCTTGAGGATATAGGTGCAGTGGTTTAGATATGGTTGGAATGTGACCCCCAGTGGTTCATGTGCTGCAAGCTTGGTCCCCAGCATAACTATGCTAAGGTGGTGGAATCTCTAAGAGGTAGGGCCTAAGAGTGGTGGCATATGCCTGCAATCCCAGCTTCAGAGTTTGAGGCAGGAGGATCAYTTGAGCCCATAGCCAAGAGTTTGAGAGGTAGGGCCTAATGGAAGATAATTAGATCATGGGGACCCTCAGGAGGAATTGTTGATAGTCTTTCAGAGTGAGTTCTTACAAAAGTGTGTTGTTGTAGAGCAAGTCCACCTCATGTACTTTGTCCTTCTGCATGCAGTTGTTTTTCCTTCTACTTCTCTGCCATCCTTGTATTAGCAGAGAGGCCCTCACCACAAATGCAACAAAAGGGGACCCCCACACTTGGATTTCTAGCCCCCCAAATTATGAGCTAAATAAACCTCTTTTCTTTGTTGTTAAGTATCCAGTGTCAGATATTCTGTTATAGCAACACAAAATGGATTCTTGTAGTGGGCTACCATTTCTAAGATTAAGTTTTAAGCCGATTGTGTCTTGCATACCTCTCCCTCTGGTTCTTTTGCTCGGAGTTAAATTGGCTGCCACTTAGTGAGCTGCCCTCCAGCCAGGCCTCCAGACACAGCCCCTGAGGCATTGAAGTCCTCAAATGGCCAAGTAGAACCAAATCAAGTAAGAGAAATGAGAAGTGTTTCTTCCTCTTCTCAGACCTTCATATAAGGCCACAGTTCTGGGACTGGGGTTGTGGCTCAGCAGTAGAGTGCTTGCCTAGCAAGTACGAGGCCCCAGGTTCAATCCTCAGCACTACGTAAAAATAAATAAATAAAATAAAGGTATTGTGTCCAACTACCACTAAAAAATAAATATTAAAAAAAAAAAAAAGATCACAGTTCTGGCTGACACGCTAACTGCAACCTTAGGAGAGACCTCAAGACAGAGGTGCCTARTTAAGCTACACTCAGCTTCCTAAACCACAGAAACTGAGATATCAATTTTTGTTGTTTTAAGCCATTAAGTTTTTGGGTAACTTGTTATGCAGCAATAGATAATACTTGTGGTTTCTCCTACCTTTGAAAAATCTTCCACTGCCTCTATGTCTCCTGCTTTCCTTTTAGAGCAAAATTTTACCTAAAAAATTATTTTAAAAAATTTCCATTGTCTATTCCCCTTACCCTTTATTCCTGTTTGTTTTTAAGATTTTTTTTCCTTTTTTTTTTTTTTTTTTTTAGAACAGGAGTAATGGGCTGAGGTTGTGCTCAGCGGTAGAGTGCTCGCCTAGCATGTGTGAGGCCCTGGGTTCAATCCTCAGCACCACATAAAAATAAACAAATAAAACAAAGGTATTGTGTCCAACTACAATTAAAAAATAAATTAAAAAAAAGAACAGGAGCAAGATTAAATTTCTCAGAGGAAGACAACTCTTTTTTATACACATACTCTTTTTTTTTTATTTTTTTGCAGGAGGGCATGATGTTAGCTTGGAACCCAGGGTCTTGCCTGTGCTAATAATATTAGCATGCAGCTCTATGACTGAGATTTACCCACAGCTTTTGTTTTTGTTTCTGTTTTGTCAGGGGTGTGGGACTGGGGATAGAACCCAAGGAAACTCTACCATTGAGCTATATCCCCATCCCTTCTTTTTTTTTAATTTATTTTWTTATTTTGAGTCAGGGTCTCATTAATTAACTTAGAGCCTCAMTAAGTTGCTGAGCTACCCTCAAACTTTGTGATCCTCTGCCTCAGCCTCCTGAGTTACTGGGATTATAGGTGTGCACCAACATGTCTTGTTCTATTCTTTAAACCTAATCTATCTATTAAAATTTTCCAAACAAAATTAGGTGATCATTCAAGCAAAATGTCTTCTTACCTCTCTTCTAAGTGAAAGCCTAGGAGCCAGTATTATAGAGAATAAGGGCATTAGTACCATGCCTGGGGCCTAAAGTTAGTCCGAGGTTCTTAAGCAGCAGGATTGTCGGAGTCTGAAGTGAAAGTGTTTKTTTTTTTTTTTTCCCCCTTCCTAGTTGTCTTCTACTCCACTTGGGGTATATCTGAATTAGTGGTAGAAAAAAAAATATTTTTATATTTATTTTTTAGCTGTAGTTGGACACAATATTTTATTCATTTTTATGTGGTTCTGAGGATCTAACCCAGGGCCTTGCACTTGCTAGGCAGGCGCTGTACCACTGAGCCACAACCCCAGCCCAGGAAAAATTTTAATAGAAATATTTTATTATGTAGAGTTTAAGTAACAGCAATACATCCATGAATCCATCACCTCAAATTCACTATTTTTGTTTTATTAAATATTTAATATTTATGAAAAAACATTTATAGAATCCACATTTTAAAGAATAACAAAATATGAAAACCCATTTTTAAAAAAGACCATTATGGGACTGGGGCTGATGTGTGAGGCACTGGGTTCAATTCTCAGCACCACATAAAAATGAATAAATAAAAGATGTATTTATCTTCTATTTATAAAATGTATTTATCATTTTATAGTGACCATCTTTATTCCATTTGTTCAACATAAATATTGCTATTCCAACTTTCTTTTGGCTAGAGTTTGACTGATACAACTTTGTCTTGATTTTACTTGAAGTACCAAATATTCAATCTTGCTATTTCTTTAAAAAAATTTTTTTCAGTTGTAGATGGACACAATACATTTATTTATTTGTGGGAGGGGTGGGGATTGAATTCAGGGGCATTCAACCACTTAGCTACATCCCCAGCCCTATTTTGTATTTTTTTTTTAGAGACGGGGTCTCACTGAGTTGCTTAGTGCCTTGCTTTTGAATTCATGGTCCTCCTTCCTCAGCCTCCCAAATTGGAA